TCCGTGGGATTTGAACCCTAGACCTGCTACTTGGAGAGGGTGACGACTTGACCACTTCACTAAGCCGCCACACCTCAATATTCGTTATTTTCTAACTTCAAAGATGTATCTCTGTTTAATGTTAGGCAGACCGATCACCCTTCCTATCATTAGAAACAAAATCGCTAAAAATTTCAGCACAAATCAAAAATTCATTGCAATTCCAGACTCATGATGGAGTAATAAAGAACTTAAATACTTCAGAATAGAAACTGTTAAAGTGAAAGTTTTTTTCAAGAAAGTCCTCCAAAGATCGAAAATTTATCTGACCAAGTAAAAGAAGTATTATTCATAGATCTATCTAAAGTAGACGTTTTATCAAGTATTGATTGGAAAAATCTAAAGCATGTACAAGCCTCTAGAGTCATTAAATTTATACTAGCCGTGACAAGAAGTCATTCAAACACCGAAAGCGCTGTAGATGATCTTGCAAAATCTACGCTTGAACTTTTCAATTATGATGATGGTGATCTTCGTATACAATCTCAAGAAAAATTGAGGCTGGAAATGTGTGGATCAAAAACATATGCAAAACCCGATATGTGCATTAAATCATCTCGTCTTGTAATCAAGTTGTTAATACAAGCAGATAATAAAGGTTTCAATAAAGTTACCAATGCTGAGTCTCAGGTTATTGCAGAAGCAATTGCATCGTTTCAGGAAAATAGCAAAGTAAAAAAATTTAAATCACCTTTAGAAGCACAGTTGATCCCCTGTATAACATTTCTTGGAACATATCCCACGTTCTATTTATTTAAAGTGACTAAGATGCTATCGGAATGTGTAAAAATGGGAAACTGCCCTGAGAAAAAAACTATAGTTAAAAGATATGGCATTTCGGCAGAAATAGAACCCTATCTTTTGAGAGACGCAATGCTGGTACAGGAATATAGGCAACATTTCTTTCAATGTTATGAAGCCTTCAAAAAATTTGTGGGGAGTGATATGTAGCAATATACAAGTGTTTTAAGTAATATATACTTTGCATCTGTATCGTTTAATTTTTTTTTTTTGTATATACACACTAAAACAACAACGCCAGGGCGTATGATTTTACTGTCACATGATTTCCCGATATATTAAATGTCACATGAAAGTGCAAAAACCAAATCAATTATCGAATCATCTCTTTGTTAAAGATATAATTACTTAGGTAGTAAAATCTCATAAATTTTATATTAACTTTTGTGGAATTGGTCTTCTTTTTATTTTAGATATTGATAGGGCACATTAATAAAGAATTTCAAGAATAAGCAATACTACTACAGTATATATAATTTATATAATTTTCGCATTATTAAAGATAATCTAAAATGTACATGCTAAAATTACAAAATTTACAAATAATTCATATATAAGTATGCACCACATAATTATCGTTTAAACGTGAAAGTTATAATTTAATAATACAATTTATAAATAAAACAATGAAGAATTTACAGATTTATAGCACTAGACCTTTTTAAATAGCTTACCATACGCTTTCACATATATGAACTATTCTAATATAAATTTCATATAAGCCTAATCTAAAATCTAAATTAAATTTCATCATTTCCATCAATACTAATGAATCCACCGTCGCTAAGCGGTAATCTACTATACTCAACACTATCAACATTTTCTTTATTTAATTCAAGGTAATCACGATTCTTCCAACAATACCATTGTAAAAATATAGTTAAATCAAAGACTAAAGTACCTATAGAACCCAATACATAAGGAAAACTTTCTTTTAAATAAGTTGGATTCGTATGCGCCAATGGATTTGAAAATATTGAGATAGTATATGTTAAGTTTCCTAATGCAGCGAATAAAAACATAAAAATTGAAAGTCCTTCAACAGATCTTCTTTTGTACTGTAATTTGAATATTAAAGATTTTATGTATTGTAAGTAAAAGAAAAAATTTTTGACATAAATAAAAAAATAAACAAAAACAGACATTTTTCCATATCTGAGGCATTCTACTTGTCAAATACAATATAGTACAAGCCCATGCAAATATTCTTCCAATATACTCTGCATGATATTCAAAGAATGATTTTGATGGAATTATATAATCTGCAACAGTTTCATTAGCGTTCATTGATCGCTCAAAAAGACGAGTTGAATGAGTTGTAGAGATTGATGAAGTTATTGTAGAGGTTGAATAAAAAGAAAAAAACAATATAGCAAAAACCATTGTTGAACTATTAATTTAATATTAATAAGAGAAAAATTTTAATAATAATCTAATAATTAAAGGCGGCTAATATATACACCCTCAAATTTGTTATTCATACCCCCCACAAAATTTAAATTTTTTTCTGATTTTGAGCAAAGATATCTAGTAATTTCTTTTAATCAAATTTAATATTTTTTTATTTTTAATTTTTTTTTTGATTCTACAGATTTGTAGAATCAAAATAAAATAAATTTCATCGAATTTGGTTAAGTGGTTATGATATCTTCGCTCAAAGTTTCGAAATATTTAAAACGTTTATCAAAATAATAGATACAAAAAATTCCTGCAACTTGAGCGAAGATAACTCGACAACTACTTAGCCAATTCAATGAACTTTTTTTTGTTTTAATCCTACAAATCTATAGAATCAAAAGAAAAAACGTTTATTAATTTTAGTTAGTTAGATGCTGAGATAACTTTGTTCAAACCTTTGAAAAATTCAAAGCGCCTACCAAAATTATAGCTGCATCAAAATTTTTCAAACCTTTGAGCGAAGATTTCTTAGTATCCATCTAACTAAATTCGACAAACATTTTTTGTTTTAATTCTACAAATCTGTAAAATCAAAAGAAAAAAAATTTCATTAAATTTAGTTAGATGGATGCTGAGATATCTTCGCTCAAAGTTTTGAAAAAATTCAAAATGCCTATCAAAATAACAGCTGCAGCAAAATTTTCTAAACTTTGAGCAAAAATATCTCAGTATATATCAAACCAACTTCGATAAACTTTTTTTTTCTTTTGTTTCTACAATTATGTAGAAAAAGTTTTATCTAATTTGGTTAGATAGATACTGAGATATCTTCGCTCAAAGTTTTGAAAAAATTCAAAACTCTCAAAATAACAGCTACGGCAATTTTTTTAAAAACTTTGAAGATATCTCAGTATACTTCTAACCAAATTTAATGAACTTTTTTTTATTTTGATTTTACAGGTTTGTAGAATTAAAAATAAAAGTTTGTCGAATTTGGTTAGATGGATGCTGAGATATCGTCCCTCAAATTTTTAAAAAATTTTGCTGCAGCTGTTATTTTGATAGTCGTTTTGAATTTTCAAAACTTTGAGCGAAGATATCTTGGTATCTATCCAATAAAATTTGATAAACTTTTTTTTTTTTTTTAATTCTACAGATTTGTAGAATTAAAATAAAAAAATTCACCGAATTTGGTTAAATGGCTATTGAGTTATTTTCGCTCAAAGTTTCAAGAACTTTTTATTTTGATAAACGTTTTAAATATTTTGAAAATTTGAGCGAAGATATCATGGTAACCACTTAACCAAATTCGATGAAATTTTTTTTTATTTTGATTCTTAGAATATAAATAAAAAAAATATATATTAAATTTGATTAAAGAAGTTACTAGATATCTTTGCTCAAAATCAGAAAAAATTTTAAATTTTGTGAGGGGTATGAATAACAAATTTGGGGGTATATATATCAGCCGCCTAATTAAAATATGATTAAAAGAAGAAACCTACACTCTTTGATGTGTCTCATTCGTTCGTTTTGAGGTTGGCCTTAATTCCAAAGAATCTCTTAAAGTATCTCTTAAAGAGCCTCTTAATGTATATCCAGATCTAACCGGAATACCACTTGATGGATACAATAAATAACGAAACCAATTATAATAAAAATATTGATAGAATAATGCAAGATCCACAACACAGAAATATGTAGCGAGATATATCTAAATCAGATAACATGCGCATATAAATTTTTTGTAAAATAAAATGATAATTTTTAGTAGCTTATGATTTCGATACCTGGAATGGTAATTGATTAGTTAAAATACAACCAATTAGGTTTGCTATATCACCCAACAACCAATTCACCAGAAATGGGAAACTTAGTCCGTCAACTGACTTATTTCGATAATTTTGCAAAAGTTGTCTAACAAAAAATAGGTAATATATTTAATTTATCAATCCAAATATAAATTGAGAAAGAAATGAAGAGTAAACTTACGGAATCTGTGCATTTAACCAACAAACTATAGATAAATAACCTATTTAATGTCATGTAGCTTAAGGTTAAAATGGTTATAACAATAAATACTTATACAAAATGTTTCTCAAAGCGAAACAAAGGCAGACCAGAACTAAAGAAACGCTCATATCCCTAAATTCCAAAGTATTACCGAATAAAATGCTAATCATCTCTTGTTTTCCATATACGCAAGTCCCAAATAAAGTATATATCCACTGAACGTAAGGTTCACCATCGCGAGTTAATGGATCGCAAGATGTGACAGATGCCATTTTATTTCGTATTCAAAATATATAATCTATTTTTGTCTCTCTGGATCTTATTATACTCTGGAATACATTTAAATAAAAAATCAATAAAGAGTACTCTTATTTAATTTCTAGGCGTAATATCTAGCGAACTAGCGAAGCAACGTTTAATCGAACAAAAAAAGCGAATGCTTCAGAATTATTCGATAAAGACGTGGCATTAAATAATAGCATGGCTGTGTGATCATGTTATTCATGTATGTATGTACATCCCGCTATATACCGATACTATATCGATATGTCATGTGAAAAATCAAATATGTTACACATTATAAAGTAGAAATTTATACATATCGACATTTAATTTTTGAACGAATTATGGAAAACCCCGTGCATAAAGTTCTGCGAAACAAAGTTGCAGGAAAAGGTTTTACGCAGATAATGATATCATTTGGAATTGATTTAATTATGCCAACTGAGTTTGCACCTTTATACGTACCCTTAAAATAAATTTTCTTAAGGTTCTTGAAACTCCAAATATCATAACTAAGAATAATTTGCAAGAGAAATATAACTTTTTATTAATTTAGCAAAATATAATAACGTTATCTTACGTATCTTGCATTGTGAAGGCAAAAGACAAAATTCTACTAATTTAGCAAAAGATACTAACGTTATGTATTTGTCATGCAAATAGAAAAGTTATACGTACGTGCGTACGTACGTACCAAAACATAAAAGTTTACGTATTATTATTATTATTATTATTATTATTATTATTACGTATCATATAGATATTTAGCTATATAATATTTATTTCGTCATACATTTAGACACATCAAATTTAGGGCGCTTTCGAGCAAAAAATTCGGTCCTTCCCCTGAGCAGATATCCATTATCTGACTATTGTTGGTAGTGCGTCTCATGGATTGCTCATGAGTGTTTCATGGGTCATCTCATGCTGTGCAGAAAACAAATGGAATAATTATAATATGCAGGCAGAGTGTCCAGCTATTCGTAGCATCTAAAATAGTGCTATTTTTACTAAATTGCCACAAATAGCTAGCTGCATTGTTTTTGTGCTATGATGCGAATTTTGCTATTCATGCAGGAATTTTAAGACTTTCTTTTGTCTGTAGACAAATTAGCAATTTTTTAAATTTATAGAATAACCGAAATTTGAAATTTACTAACGGATAGATTATTTTTTTTTCTAAAATGCCGCGAAATCTTTCAATCCTAGATAATTATCCAAAATACAAAGAGGATTTTTATCAAAGTGAAGGAAAAATTTATTGCTCATATTGCACATGTCTTGTTGATCATAAAAAAAAAACAATTTAGATACACACTTAAAAACTAATAAACATAAAAAATTGCCAAAATCGGTCAAGATTTGCCTGAACAAGAAAACTTAGTTACATTACAAACTCAAATACCTAATAAA